GCTTAATGATTAATTAGATGGAACATTGTGGGTGTGGTGTATGAATGTTAACACCTTGTATTAATTCTTTAGTATGTTACTTGTGTGGTGTAGAAGATAATTATTTAAGAATGTAATTATGTAAGAATGTTAACACTCTGTTATAATTTTTTTAGTATATTACTTGTGTGGTGTAGAAGAGAATTAATTATGTAGAGCTACTGCTTGCAAACCAATGATGGTAAGATGATGTCATGGGGTAGGACTGGATAAGTCTGACTTCTTCCTACTCCATTCAAGCATGTACTAGGTATAAGCAAATTGATATTGGATTAGCATTTGTTGGATATGTGTATAATTATGTGTGTTGACATATCAACTGTCTTTACATTCTTGAAAGAATAAATCAAATCAAATCAAATCAAATCAAATCAAGTTGTCTTAATTTACACTGTAAAGTGCCAGAGGGTGAACAATGGCCTCGTCCCCACCCAACACTCATTGAACTATTTACAATACAATACACAAAACTAATCAAAAAAAACAACACACCACAAAATAAAACAACACACAAACTCAGTAGGTGTTCACTGGTACCCAGTATGTCATGTCTTTGACAGCCAGTATTTCCCACTGTTGCTATGACAGCAACTCAACAGAATGGCAGGCCAAAGCATCAGCAATTAGTCAGTTGCAACAAGTTGCTGCCTGATTTCAGCACCACAGAGAGAGCTCTTACAGAGTTCAAGCAAACACAGTCCACTTTGACATGTGGACTGGGGAGACCGGAATCGAACCACGAACCACTTTACCTCCTGAACACAGCCACCCCCACTTGGACTTGTGAATAATGTTTTGAGAAGATTAAGAGTCTTTCAAAGACTGAAAAAATAAAATGGATAAACTTTAACTAGTACATCAAATTTCAAGTCAAAAGTGACAGCTTGAGCTCTCAGAAACAAAAACACAGTGCAGACAGTAAACTGAAGGGCAACACACCCTGACAGCATTTCTGCAGCATTCTAGACATCCATCAGTCATCTGTCTCAAATACGCTTGTATTTCTATCAGCTCTGAGAGGCTTGCATGTGTCATATGACAATACACAACCCCCTCTGCTTTCATTTTTAAATGAGCTTGCTCATTTTTTCCAGTTGTTCTGAACATGTCTTGCTGATCAGTAAAGGTCAGCAGAGTCAGTGCCAAGTCTTGGTGAATAGTTTTTTCTAAACTATTCTGGATGTTTGGGGCAGTATATTAGAAATATACATTCTCACACCATTGTTTAAATTTGATTAGCTAACCAGAAAATGTCTAGTATTTCAAAGAATCATTGCAGCCTGTTTTGAATCACAGAGCAAAAGACTAGAATCTTAAAACATCAATTCAATTCAGTTTTATTTGTATAGCACCAAATCACAATAAAACTCATCTCAGAGCACTCTGCACAGTAGGATTTAGATCTTACAGTATTATAAAGAAAGACCCAACAAATCTCCCTTGAGCAAGCGCTTGGCGACAGTGGGGAGGAAAAACTCCCTTTAATGGCAGAAACCTCTGACAGAAACCACACACACATCTCACACCAGAAAATCATCTGTATTCCTGTCACAGCCTTATGCTGAGCTTGAATCAGTAGTAAAGCCAGGCTGAGGCTACAAGCGACCTAAAGGTCAGGTTGTGTCCTCAGCCTGGCTGTGAGGCAGCACAGTCCTACAGCTAGGACCCTTTGTTGTGCTCTTGGAGAGCACTTGGTCAGATACAAGTACTGTAGGTTTTGTTGAGAAAAGAGCAGCCTATTAACCCAGTCAAGTGTGACTTGAAATAAAAAAAATAAAAATAAAAAAAGGGAGCCAGTGAATGAATTGTTCTGAAGGGATGCCATCCTGATAGGGTCCTCACTCTGCAGCCCCTAACAACTATTCAGCTCAGACATTCCCTGCAGTACCCACAGCAGCAGAGAAAAAGAATGAAAACCTCTGACTACCTTCTGGAAAATGTATGAAGCTGTGGAGATGTGGTTCAAGCAGTAGCCCATATCCATTCTATCTTGTAATGAAAATGAAAGAGGGGCGGGGGTGAATAAATAAAAATCTACTGACAGTGGGTGTGTATGTGGCAAGTGAGAGGCAAAGACTGAGCGGGCATCAGAAAAAAATGAAAAGGGAAGAACGAAACATACAGAGAAACTAAGAAAGACATGAGAGTGAGTAACATGAAGATGATTCATGGCCCTTGTACTCAGGTGGGGAGTCGAGCCAAAGACTGGGACAGAGATAGCTGTCCAGCGACATCCACAACACATCTGTCCACAGCTATGGCCACAAAACATGTTGTGGAATAAAACCATTGGTTTAAAAGGACATCTACACCTCTGAGTTTGCCATGCAGAGGGCATGAGGGTAAAAGGTAGAACTGGGATATAATAGAAACTTTACTAAAAGAGAAAGACTTACTGCAATTAGGATCAAATTCTTTTTATTTAGTTTATTTTTCTGTGTTGGGAACATGTTCACCCTTTTAGCCAATTTTTTTCTGATTCCCCCATTGGATCCATATATAACTAAGGCATGAAAAATAATATTTGAGATAGCCCACATAGTTTACTGAATAAATTGTGTTACTTGTGTTTTTGGCGATACTTGACCCATTAGCATTTTCTTATAGCATCCATTTTATTCTAACGCTGAAATAAATGTCAGATATTTTTATTTTCTCTTTTATGACCCATTGATTAAAAGACTTGCATATCTATTCACATGAATATTTTTATACTTACCTGAGGAAGACCTGCAGCAACGAGAAAGGTTCAAGATAAACTCAAGAGAGCTGTGACACCTGTGATTCCTTGCAACTTTGTGCACCCAACCATCCTATCCCAGCTCAAGTGTCGGTTTGAGACTTGAGACCCACTTTGTGGCTACACAGGTGCACGCAGTCTTGTTACCTTGTTTTTGTGCAACAGCTCTGTACAGATAACACTTGTCTTTTGATGTTTCTTCTGAAGCTGCACCTGTCTCTCTTATCTATCAATCCAACTTTTGATAGCAAAAATCATAATGCCATACAATTGGGTAGAAATTTGTCATATCTATGATGTAACTTGTTGTTACTACTTTGTCAGTCAGTGTCTTTGAGCGTGTATCAAAAGTTATTATTGTCTTACAGAGAAGTAAATGCAGCGCTTCCTCATCACTTACCCCGATCCGTGTCGTACAGGAAGACAAACTTGTTCCAGTCGTAGTGGTTGAGGATGGACAGGAGCGCCCCTCGGATGGATGGTCGGAGTTGCAGGGTGAACTGGCTTTCACCCTCGGTGGGAAAGCTGGGAGTGATGAGTGAGATGTGCAGAGCGCTGCAGAAAGATGTCAATGTGTGGACTGAGCGCTTGTCATAGAGGCCGAAGATGGCGAAGACACCACGGGAATACTGGGAGCAAACTGAGGAAGAAAGTAACAAGAATATAATTAACAATATACAGCAGACAAAAGACAGACAAGACAGGGAATAGGGGAGAAGAGGAAAAAATGGCATTTTTTATGAAACTGTTTAAAATTATCTCAAGGGATTTATATGGTTTGAAAGTAGGCCAGGGAGGCCACCTCGACTCTTCAGTATCACAAGCACCTATTATTTCTCTGAAGCCATTTATCTAATCAGCTCGCATCCTGTGCTTAATCCCAAACCAGCCAGTTGTTTTGCTCCTTCTATGTCTTCCTCAAAATTATTTAAAACTTGCTGCTTGTATCTCTGCAGTTTACAGTATGGAACATTGAAGGGTTTGTTTCTCAGATACTTTCTGCTGCCTCATGCAGATAGAAATAGTAGGATTGCAGGCCAAAAACTGCTTGAGCAATGAATACTTAGCACTAGGACTGTAGATGAAATAACAAAGCATTATTCCACTGATTACCATGTTAAACCATTTCAAGAGAACTGCTGACTGAGGTAAACAGATCAAAATCAAAAACATCCCAGTAGGTGTGTAACTTTGCCAAAACAATGTCATATCCACATTTTTCTCTGGACCCCTGCCCACTCAGACCCGTGATGATATGTTTAGCCGGATGTCGTCATTCAGCCGCTGGTTGCGAGACTTTAGATTACATGTTAACTTTTCATTTGCATTTAGTCTACACAAGCTGTGCTGTACACACACAGTGTGTCCTGCTTAAGGAGATCTCATCATAGAAAGGTTTGGCTATGTACATGAGTGGTACCATAATTGCCCACTTCTTAAACATACACACACTGAATCAAAACAGAAATGGAAGATAATGAGCATCCTCTGCCAGCTTCTGGGTAAGGTGAGAATCAGAGCAAGCAGCACACTGAAGGAAGAGCTCAAGATGATCCTGCTAGTAAGAGCAAATGGGGGGTGGGCAAGCACTGACAAACCCACTGTTTCCAAGCAGAGTGCAGTACTCTACCGTAGAAACAGAGAGAGTCAACATCTTTTCTGATCTGCCCTGTAGCTCCCTCCCTCAGTGAGATGAACAAGACAACAGAGAGACAGAGAAAACACAGCCATGCTTCTTCTGTTGTACACACAATTAAGGTACGTGGAGGTGCGGGGAACTACAGCTGTGAAGAAAAGATGACATGTCAAGACTGTACCGTAGTGGGATTTGTCATGTTTTCCCCATTTCATGATTAAAGTCAGTCTCACCAGAAAGAGACTGAGTTGAACCTGTGTACTGTTTAAAGTCCAAGTGAAGGTATGTTTTTACAATAATAAAATATTTCTAAATGTCCTGGTTTTGTACTGAACAGGAAGAAAAAAAGGTATTTGGGTATACAATACATCAGAGATGCTCTGTTTGACCTACTAGTGCTGTTAAGTAACTTTAAAAAGCAAGTACACGCAGCATCTTTTTTAGTAGTGTGGAATAATGAACGTAGCATTTAGCTTACAAATGCTGACCTTTGCAGCCTGATGAGCTACAGTTGACTAGATAAATTGCTATCTAGCTTACAGGCTGATATTTGTAGTGCTGTTTTCCAGGACAGATGTTTGTTTGAGGTCATTCGGCATGCCAAGGTGCAGAATAATGTCTGTATGGCTGTTACTCAAAGTCCCCACCATCAGTAACAAAACAGTGATGTTTCTGTCCAAATAGTGTATGTTTAAAATCTGCTGACTTGACTTGCAATCTAAAAAAAGAGGTGTAGGCTATTCTGACAGAAATACAGCAGGATTCTGATTATTGCATAGAGAGGAAAACAAACATTTTAATAATGACTCAATTTTTTGCAAAAGAGACAACAGGTTGTTTACAAAGAAGATCTGTATGTTGAATTAAAAAGAAAACAACATTTTAGTTGGCCTTAAGCATCAGTTATATACTGTAGCTTCAACATAGCAATACAATGTCAAACACCTGCTGTCATTTGCACATATTGCCAAACCTGCTCCCTGAAGACCAAAAAGTGATATAAATATTTACCATGAGTGTCTTTGTGCATTCATATGGCGGTATGGAGGCTCTCGAGAGAAGCACAGCAGTGTGTGTCCACTCAACTGAGAAAAGAGTCCAGAGGTTGGAAAATCCACACAGCCCCCTGATGTCCCCCCTCAAAGGATAGGATGACACACACTTCCCTGAATCCTTATATGTCAGCCCACACCCACACTGTCCATATACTGCATTATTTACTGGGTTATACAGTACACTGGGTAGAAACACCAGTTTGAATAACAAGACATCATCAATATGCATGTAAGGGGACCTGCTGGTCTGAGCTGAGACCCTGAAAGCTTTGCTCAAACTCTGTCTCCCTCTGCAGTGTTTGTCTCTAATTACTACCTGTTTTCATACCTCTAGTGATTAACTTGGGATTGAAACTGATTATACAACTACATACTACTACAACCCATAATAATTAATTGCAACTACTGCTACCATGTCTCAAAATGTTACCATCTCACATAAAGACATGACACATTCATCTGCTATATGGAGACACTAAGCAATGAGATGGACTATGACAGTATTGGAAGCAGTTCATCTCAGGCACACTCGTGGTCACATTTATAGCACATAAAAGCTCTGAGACAAAGGACAGCACATAACTGAAAGCAATAACCGAGATCTTCATATATCAATTTCGGGTGTTATATTTCCAGTTTTTCTTAAATGTTGCTCATATATTTTTAGGGGAGTAAATGTATTCTGTGTACAGTTCATGTGTTTGAACTGATTAAATGTTGGTGGTCAAAGGTCAAAGGTCAAGGTCAGTGACGTCACCTCTGTTCCATTCCTGTGAGTCTGACTGATTGGCAGAGGCATAGAACCATGACGCTGTAATTTTAGTTTACAGTAAGCCTGAACTCCTTTCAGGGAAGGCACCGATTGCAACAGAGACAATGTGAATACTTTGTTTCTTTACACCTGCAGTCCTGGGACGACAACACATCCAAGAGGCCCACTGTGTACAAAGCCTCAGTGCTTCTGGGTTGTAAGATGTGTGGAGTAATTAAAAGAAAGATTTTTCTAGCCACAAAACCTTGCATAAACATCAATAAAAACTTCAGATTTGAAAATCCCCAAGTAGCCCTGTCCATTTGGCTACCTTTAAAAACCTCTGATGCTGAAATATTCCGTAAAGCTAAGGATTGCTTCAAGGTCACATTTTCACAGGAGCTGCCAGTGAGACCATGCTGCCCAGAGAGGCTCTGGCAGAGTGGACAGTACAGTACTATAGTGCATGCCAAATGGAAAATGATGTGTTACAGTATCCGTTTCATTAAAAACAGAATGCCTTAGCAGTGAAGGAGGAATCAAAACCTTCAGTACACAGCTTACAGTGTGCTCCACGCCTGCTCACTAGTGGGCTTGTTCTGCATCTTTCACTGTCACCAACTCTGTAGCTCCTCTTAAGAAAGCCTTTTGAGTTCACTGTTTTGGATTAAAGGCCTGCAAACTTAGGGTTTGCGCTCATCAACCTTGTTACAAAATTAGCAAATACAGTAGCTTGTCAATATATTTCACTGCTACAGAGCTAGATATTTCCATTAGGAGGCAGTTGAGTTCAAAACAAATAAGGACAGTGAATATTGGACTTGCAGTTATAAAAAGTAAATTTTATTTTGGTCTTCTGGATGTATCAACAGGAAGTTGTTTGCTACGAAACCTTCTTGCTGTGTTAGTGCTGTGTTTAGAGTTTAGTCTGCAGCCTCTAAGCGGACAGAATAACAAACACTAAATTACTGCAGCTTTAATAATGAACATACGATTTGCATGTTTGGTCAGTTACAATATCACTGACACTAAGCACCCAGACAGTTCTGAGCATCCTTTTTCCTGAGCTAAATTAGTTTAAATTAGTCAGATACACCCAGTCACTTGCTGAATCCATAGATCTGGACTTCTCTGGACCTCAGACTGACCACAGGGGAGCAAAACTTTATGACTTTCAGTGACTTTGCACTGGATGCAGACTTCACAAGACTATTCCTATGTTAATTAATTTAACTGATATTGGCAGTGCAGTGCCAAGTCAAAATGAAAACCTTAACAGGCATGGAGGAAGGGTTGTCCATAAAATACAGGGAATTCAGGAAAGAACCACTGAGTCAGTGGGGTGATACCATTTCAAATCCAACAGTTCCTCTCTTATGATTTTCATAGACAAGAAAACAAGGAAATCAGAAAAAAGAGAGCATGGAAAAATGTGAAAAGCATAATTAAATATGTGCAACTGACTGGATCTAATGGTAAAAACACAAACTTTTTAAGCATTTACCTCAGTGTAAATAAAATTCATTGAGCTATTTAATCACACAGTGCCATTCCACTTTCTGTTAGTTGGGTTTGCAGCTTAGCTTCAATGTCTTCCTCAAAAAATGTCACATTGACTTGTACTCAGTCTGACATTTGACATTTCCCACATGTGTTTTGAGGCATGCAAAATCACAGAGATTCAGAGCAGGATTACTCCAGTGCAACGAGACAGCAGAGGCCAATAGTAGCAAATCCATATGAGTCAAGCTGTATCAGTCAGAGTTTGCTTTGTATGACCTAGCAGTAGTGTTGACAGTGAGTGGGTGGCCGCTAGGCACAGGCCAGTCTCCTGGACTGGTCTCTTTAGTGCCACACCAGCAGTGACCCTGAAACAGCATCTGTTGGCCTCACACTCCACTGCACAACCAGGTCAGAGCACACACTCACTGCAGCTCATTCTGATCAATGGGTCAGACATTGCACGCGTGACACAGTAACAGAGTAATGCAACTGAAGCTTTCCTGTTATTTTTACATAACACTCATCTGAAGTCATATCACATCCTCATTTGTAGCAAAAATAAACCTCATGTGGCTGAAGTGCTACTTCTGTCTGAATAACCTGAAACTTAGCAATCAACTTCAGCTGACCTTTGACCTAAGGTAAAATAAGTTTTCCTAATGACCAGCAGGACTTTGGGCAGCTAAACTGCTTTG